CGTAAACATGGCCTCTTTACAGAGCTGAAAACCACAAAATGTAATGTATTGTATTACTAAATTTCTTAATTTGGTTGATTCATATTTAATTTTTATAATTGTTTTGGTATATGAATGTTGTAATGCCTGTAAAACAAACTTGATTTTTGGGAAGTTGTTTTTTTTTAAAAAAAACTCACTTACATTTGATTACTTGTTTCAGTAAAACAGTAACCGCATTTCAAATATCTAAAAAATCAGTGATATATTTGTATTATATTTGTATAATTTTGTAAATGTGTGGATTTTTATATTTTGCATATTTTAGTATTCTGTAGATCACCTTTTGCTTGTTTTATGTTTATGCTGTCTGTTCTTTGTTGTTTTATGTTTATGCTTCTTTTTCTGCAGTGCCAGTGTCCCCACATTAACCAACAAAGTTTCATATTATTATCTTTTTTTTTTTTTTACAGATGACATGTCGCATTTGTACTGGACAAACACGAGAACAAAATGTACTAGCAAAAGCTTTAGTCGCTATCCTAAAATGCCTGTGAAAACATTGGTGTTTTTGCGTCTGTGCCCTACACAGAAAGTGGTCTTGTGGGGGTGTGAGGGTCAGCCATTGTTTCGTGCGTTAAAGAACGGACAACCCCTGTAGATAAATCAGCAGGAGGCTTTTCGGGGGAGGGGAGCCCTTCTTGTGAATTTGGAGTCGGAAGAGTACTGGCATCTGGCCAACTACTGAAATCATGAAAGTGTGGACTGTTTGAACTTTAGTGAAACTGAGCAGAACTGTTTGTGACAGGAACAGTGGCAGCGGCAAAGCTACATTTGGTTGATTAACAATTCCCCACTTGCTTTCTCTCACATAAGTAGCATATGAGTGTGGATAACCAATGCTTTGAGCAACATTTTGGAACAAAGGAGCATTTAAAAGCATTGCTGGTTGCTTGTGCAAAAGAAATATTTACTCAAGTGCAAAGAATTTAAATGCACATTCTGTGCAGCAATTCAAGTAGGTCAAGAACATACTGAAGAATCTGTGCGGCTGCATGCTCTGTGGAAGAACATGTAGGAACAACCTTTTATAGCCAGAGGGTTATGATATGTAATGATTTAAATGTGGAAATTACTTTGGATAATAATAACTGAACAGATGTCTATGCTTCATTCTGCATTAACAGCATTGTTAATTGCAAAAGCAGGGTGTAAACAGATATCACACGCTGAAGCATTTTTTCCTATCAAACCCTCCTTCCCTATTCTGGTAATTTCACCTCTATTTATCCCACTGCACTCCAAAAAAACAACACATTGTGCCGCTAGGAGGATCTTTATTATCTGTCATCAGTCCGCAAGAAATAAAGGCACACCAACTGTGTCTGTGCTGCAGCACTACAGTCAAAACTGTGTCACTGTGTCACACATAATGATGTAACCAATCAGGGAGCAGGTAAGCTTGAGTGGTTGTATCAGATCTAGCATCAGCCCAATCCCACCAGAGCCCTCAGCCAGTCAGGATGCTTCTAGTCAGGGCACTGCATCTGTCCGTGTGAAAACACCAAACTGTGTGAATGTGTGACCGTGCCGTGGATGTAAACATGCGGCAGCTTTCTCCGCCCCTTGCAGACAGGGTTGGTTTAACGTGTGTCTGAGAGTTAATGTCAGCATGTGTGATCATTTGTGTAAATGCATGTGAGAGTGAATATTGTGTGCATGTGTGGGAGAGGGATCTACGAGAAAGCTCAAAGCTATTCCCAGAAAATTAGATTTATCTAATGACGAAATCACATTGACATGAACATGTCACTTTTGTTATCTTAAAAAAACCTCAAAACCCCTTCAGGTATTATGAAACTCATCCTGTTGACTCCTTTTAACTGCAACAGGATTATACATGCTTCTTGCCAAGAAATGAGCCACGAGATTCCGTTGTCCTCCAATGACATTTCCTCTCCATCTCTTCTTCCTTGTGCAGTATTTTGCACAAAACAACAAGCTACAGTTTTTCTTTCTAATCTGTTTTGCAAATTTCATCAATCTCTCATCCTTCCTAAGTCATGGCTTTAATGCAGAGGTCCCTTCTTCTGTTGCTCATTGTGGTAAGAAGAGCCAGTACTGGTTTGAACTAGTATGATGTGTTACACAACAACACAGCACAAGTGAGGACAATCATGTACATGCGCTGACAGCAAATCCATAACCTTTAAAAATGATGGATGCTCGGTGCACATGCTGTTTTCATTGCACCTCCATGTGCTATTATATGTTAGAATATCTAAATCTCAGTCACAGATTTTAATAATATGTAAAAATTGTAGTTGCCATGTATTTGCATTCCCTGATGCCATAGTGTGAGTGGATGCTAACTGACTGGGATCTTAAAGTTGTTTTTGGCCAGGGGGCTATTGTGCAGCTCCATTTATGAGACCCCATTTCATGTTTTTTTTTTCTCCTTACATAACATGGATGTGTTTTTTTTTTCTCCCGCTCCACACAAGAACCACCATGATGCAGCCTGTACATTCCGGTGGTTGTCATAGCAACAGGGCAGCATCCCTCTCCATCCTTTGTCCAGTTTCTCCCCCATCGTTTGAGCTTCCCAGGCAGAAGGTGGTTTGGATTCTGCATGCAAATCGAACCCCCCTAATTGAGGCTCGAAGCGAGGAAGTGGAAGAGGTTTTGGATGGTGACTGAATGTCATTGAGTGGCTTTCACACAATGTAGCGAGGCATTCAACTCCCCACAGAGATGGCATCAGTGTTAAGTAAGAGGAAGTGAACACCCAATGAAGTGCTGAAGTCAACAGATCCATACGGTTTTATGTTAGATAATGTATGTGTTTTGTCATATTCTGACGAAACATGTCTATAGGATATAAAAAAACATATTGGCACAGGTGGTACAAGTGGGTGGGTTGGGGAAAAGAACATGGTGTGTCTGCTTGCCTCTGGGAATGTAGGGTGTTTTGCTGGGAATAATGGACTGTGATGCGGTATGTGGGTCAGTTTAATTCCCCTATAATTGTATGTGTCAGTCAGTGGATGAGGTTTTGAGTTTAGGTTTGCGTCTTTGTGGCAGAAATGTGTGCACGTGTGTGGGAGGGACTTGAACTTTAACATTTCCCCCCTCTGTTCTTCCACTATTTTCAAGCTGTTTTGCACAGCAGCTACAGTATGAATGTAGACAGAAATAGAAATATTTTTATAACAGATTACCCCCTTTGCAGTCATTAATTACTTTGGAATTATGTTTATTCCATATAAAGTATTAAAGCATTGTTGCCTAATGACACATTTTAAGCTGTTTCTGTTTCCAAACTTTTGCACTCTATGACCCCAAGTTTTTACTTGAAAGTATGACACAAACTCTCAGAAACCTGCAAAGGCATGCTCAAAACAACATCTCAGGGGCGGAGAGGTTTCAGACTTTGGGGGAAAAGAAAAAAAGACCAAAACAAAGTTAGAGTACATGTGTTGGCTCCAGGCCAAGCAACATCCTCTGAAACAGGATTGAACCTGCCCTCAGTTTTATGATTGGTTAACTTGTTCCTGGCGAAGCCAATGAGTGAGCTGACTAATGTGCTGTTGTGAGGGCAGCCGGGATGTAGGGGAAAGGTCTCCAAGCAAACTTTGTTGTGTCCCTTCCCCCAAGTAGAGAGAGGACACCAGAAGTAAATGTTTATGTCCTGTAAAATGAAGATGTTGTGTGCTTCTTGAGAAGTGAAATGTCGCCCTGTTGTGTCGGTGTCAAAGAATTCCTTCACTGTGTTTATATGTGTGAAGTTCTGGCTCCCAACTCTTCAGTAGAGAAAACTTTGACTTAAATACTGCTGACTTGGCAGATTGTTAACATATGCAGAAGTGTTACGGAAATCTTTACAGCTATACTTTGCCTTATTGGACAATAAAGATAAATAAATTCAGCTAAAATAGACTCACCGTACAGCTGTAACTAAGCTCTGTCAACATGCTGTTCTAGTTGGTTTTTTAGTAAACAACAAAGTAAGTCTAGTTAACAGCCACAACAGTCTGTGGTGCTGTGTAGTTGTTTATGCGACAGCACTTCTGGGAATATTGGCCTCAGGCTGTTGCAGTGAAGGAGTCTAATAACTGTCTCGTGAGTACATCAGTTTCCAGTTACTTCCCACATGGTCCTAAAAAACACCAGCTAGAACAAAGCTGCTGTTGATCTCCGGCCAAGATATCAGCCAGACTGAAACATCAGAACCTTTGGCAAAACAGAGCGCAGCCAGCGAGCCTTTACTAGAGTTACCTTTAGGTGCACTTTGTTTTACTTTTTCTGTGTACTGCTCATATTAAAATGCTCTGTTGCAAGCTGTTTCAACAGTTTTTAAATGCAAGATATTTTAGACTGGAGGCCAATATCAACTGCTCCTGCAGCCAACGATAAGATGTAGCTGTGTTGTTTTGAACTATAGTGTCCACAAGACGACCTTAGCACCAGAGTTTTATGTTACATCTGCTCTATTATCACTGAATGTTGACTCTAGAATGTGGAGTTTTATGAATCATCCAGTCTACACTGAGCTAAACCAATGACAACTAATGTTTTCACTTTGCAGCTGGAAAAGCAAAGTGCAGTCCCATCCTATTACCTTGTTAAAGCAATAGTTTGACATTTTGGGAAATAAGCTTATTTGATTTCTTGCTGAGAGTTAGATCTATACCACTTATCTGCCCATTTGAAATAAGGCTACAGCTAGCTGCTGGTCAGCCTCACGTTAAGACTACAGCTAGCCTGGCTCAAAGGCAACAAATGAATCTACCAATGTGTTTGTGAGCTTTAGGGGCCTTTGGACAGATCCAGGCTTGAGGTAAGGTTTCCACTCTTTCTGCTAAGCCAACTGGCTGTTAGCTGTACTGTACAGGGATGAGAGTGGTATCAAGCATCTCATCCAACTCTTGGCAAGACAGCAAAACCGCTTATTTCCAGAAATGTTTAACTATTCCTTTAATTTTTTTTTCTTTTTTTAAGTCATGAGTCATACAGCCATGTTGTGATAAAAATAAAAGTTTTAAATGTATCAATAAAAAACACCAGGTTCAGTAAACTTGATGTTTTACCAAATCAGGTGCATTACAATATCGCAGTTAACAAAAGGATAAAACTCCTTGAGGAAATCTACAAATGGCATTATGGACAGATCCACATTTGAACAACATACGACTGGGTATAGACATCTACAAAGTGTACCATACAAGTTGACCCAGTGTGTCAAAAATCTGACGACATCAAATGTTGCCATTTAAAAAATAGACACTTCATAAAATCAAAGAATTAGTAACATCGACGACTGGATAGTTGAAAAGGCAGGTCAACATATATTAACAGTACATGAACTAGTCAGATTTATTAAGTTAGACATGCTGTCCAGCCTTAGCAGCTCTACTCTTCAGTGTCCATGTGCTTTAGTTCTTTTAGTTACAGACAAAAAAGGGAAAGATGACATGGGCTATAAAACAGTGTTACAAAAGTCAATCCCTTCAAAAGCAGAGGGGAAAGACATACCCTGCCATTACCAGCTCACAACTACCAAGGATCTCATTACCTTGTCATGTTTTAAGTTGACCAGCCAACTTTAAGCCATTAAAATGCAGGTTAAAATCATCTCAGTGGGAGAGAAAATAAAAAATACAGTACTAGTTTAAAAGAAAAGATAAAGTCAGGAGGGCAGTGGGTGTCAGTCCACGAGTTGTAGATTTAGTAATCCGCAGGTTCGTCTCCTTCCTCGTTCAGCAAGCAGGTGCGGATGAGGGCCTCGATCACAGCGTACGGGTCGCAGTTGGCCGATGGGCGGCGGTCCTCAAAGTAGCCTCTCTTCTCCTGGCCGACATTACGAGGAATGCGGATGCTGGCGCCGCGGTTAGCCACCCCTGCGGAGAATTCGTCGATGTTTGAGGTTTCGTGGTGGCCAGTGAGACGGCGGGCGTTGTCGAGCCCCCCTTTGGGATCATAGGCACGAATGTGATATTGGTGCCTCTTCCCAAGCTTCTCAATGGAATCTTCAATGGCCCTGAAAGCAGAAAGCACAAGAACTTGTCCTTTAATTCATGCAACACACACACACACACACACACACACCACATTAACAAAGCTGTCAAATCAACCTGCAAAAAAGCTTGTGACACTCACTTTAATCCACCATCTTCCCTCATCTCCTTTGTGCTGAAGTTTGTATGGCAGCCAGCACCGTTCCAGTTACCAGGGATTGGCTTGGGGTCAAATGAGGCAACAACACCAAAATCTTCACAGACACGGTGCAGGATGAAACGTGCCACCCAGAGATGATCCCCCATATTGATCCCTTCACAAGGTCCAACCTGGAACTCCCACTGAACACACACAAGTTCATTATAAGTTTTTTTTTTTTTTTTTTTTTTTTTTTTTTAAAACGACCGTTGAAACCATAAAAACACGTGCAAAGTCCAGACATATTACACTTCTATTCTCATTACCTGAGCAGGCATCACTTCTGCGTTCGTGCCACAAATCTGGACTCCAGCATACAGACAAGCTCTGTAGTGGGCCTCCACTATATCTCTGCCATAGGCTTTGTCAGCTCCCACGCCACAGTAGTATGGACCTGCAAATATGAAGATTGTTAGCCACCCAGATATTGAGTCATGTTTTGATAAGAGAAACACACTCATATGAAAACTTTGAATGACCTGCTCACCTTGTGGTCCAGGGAAACCATTAGATGGCCAGCCAAATGGATGTCCATCTGTTCCCAGAATGGTGTACTCCTGCTCCATGCCAAACCAAGGATGCTGTTCCTCCACCATATCCATCACCTTCTTACATGTAATTCGAAGGTTGGTTTCTGCAGAGAAAAAAAATATAACTTTTAGATCAGAAGACTAACACCAGTCCAGTCAAGTCCTGTTACCTGGGCCAGTTTTGCCAATCACTGTCAAAATAGCAATGCAGATTGGACAACATTCCAAATAATTCTCAGGTACTTTGTGTGAGATGTCCCCTCAAACCAAAACAACTTTAACAGGCCACTTTGTGTAAGATGAGCCAATTAAACTGTAAAATAATTCTTCAATTATAGTTTAAATTTCAATTTTGACCGTTTCATCCTCTTATTTTTGCCAAAACCTCCAACAATTTTGCTGGATTTAGCGCTACTTTACTGATCCATCTATCACTTCTACATGCACAAGCCTCAACGTCAACATGCATCAGTGTGCATGCACACGAGAATGAATGGGTGCATGCAAACGGAAATGAGTGCATTTGTGTCTAATCATGTGGATGTGTGCACACCTGTTTACACGAGTGTGTGCCACATTTCTACAATGAATGAAACATGACATCTTCAACATTTGTGAAGAAGACCAACTACAGTATTCTTACTGTTTTACTCTTATATTATTTTATTTGGCAGTGGACAACAGAGTTTGAAATTGTATCATTTTTTGCTACTTTATTGCAGATCACTCCATTCATTATGATATACATGTTACTACTTCTTTGTTACCTGCAGGTTTGCGGTTGTACTTCAGCACTTCACACAGGACCAGCTTGTTGGGGTCTTTGCGGAATGGATCACGGAATATGGCAGAAGGAACCAGATACATGTCGCTATTTGAGCCCTCAGACTGGTAGGTACTGGAGCCATCAAAGTTCCACTCAGGGAGATCTACGAGAGGAGGAGAAGGGAGGCAGCTATATTACAATGCATTAGGAAAATAATCTTTATTCGTTTACACGTTTTGGGGAAGACTGAGGCTGCTTACCTTCGATGCTCTTGGGCTCAAAATCCAGCGTCCTGGTTTTGCATCGGAGTCCCTCTCCAGTTCCATCAATCCAAATATACATGGCTTGGACTTTATCCCCCTGAGGGAGCTCCATGTACTGCTGCTTGACAGCTTTACTCAAGCTGGCGCTGGCCGACGTAGCCATCTTATTTCCTACTATAACACACCTGAGGAAAAGAGGAGGAGAGCAGGCGTGAGACCGCGATGTGCTCTGGATCACATGTTGCGTAACAGGGTTTCGGGGGGCAAAAAACAAAAAACAGCACCATTGTCTCTTCTTCCAGAAAGGAGAAAGGATAAAAAAAAAAACGCGTTGAGGATGTAAAAGGCGGCACATTTCTAGGTTTTTCTCACTCTCCACCTTGAAAACAAAGAAAAAAGCCACTTTCTACCTCCTGTGCATTACTGTTTTGACTGAATTTAACGAGACATGCCAGCTCACAGAGGCCGGCTCATGGAAAAAAACACACACACTGCAAATTCCCCCAACCCCCAATAAACACTCAATGTGAGAAGCTTACGCAAAAACACATCTTTACTTCACACCGTGTTGCCAATACGCTTGTTGTTGTAGTCATGACTACAATCAGACTTAGGCAATATTACATCACATACTTCCTCATCACCCTCCTACCTAAAACTAAAAGCATTATCTAAACATAAGCAAACATTTAAAACAGACTACATCACACCTGTAAAACCACTAAAGTGAGATAAATGCACACGTCAAGTACGAGTTCAGTCTAAAGTGAGTAACAAAAAAAAAAGAAGAAAAAAAAAAAAAAAAGTCTGGTACAAGCTGAACTCCCGCCCCACCAACACTGAGTGAAAGACGGAACAAGCAAACAAGTAATTACCTGGAGAAACGAGGAAATTGAAATAAAAACTAAAGGACTGACAGGTCCAGTGTCTTGTCGTGTGATGTTTCGCTAGTGTCTCTCTCATTCTCCGGTACCGACGCTCCGGATCCGGCCGCCTTTATAAGAGCAGGAACTGGGACGTAGCGTCTTTGATTGGTCGGAGAGACGGCAGTGTGTTTACTCCAAGGTGATGGAAGGCACATGCGGCCCAGCTATTGGACAGGCTGCGAACGGAGCCGCAACGCCCTCTAGCAGGGGCTCAGCCGCGTGTCACAATGCGTGACCCTTCACCGTGCGTGTGAGTGTTTGTGTGTTCTTGCGTGTGCATGTGCGTGTGCGCATCTTCCTCATCCTCACATGAGGACATGATGTGAGGAATTAAAGTGTGAACAGGCCTCAGATGGAGGCTGAGCGCTTTTGTGAGAACGTGCTTCATTGTTGGAGACGGACTCAACCGTGTGGAACAAAATGTACAACATCCTCTGCTTCAGCACAAAACCACCTGGTAATTCTTAGTACAAGACGCCACCGTGTGGTATAAATCAGTTACTGCAAGGTTCTACTGGTTTTAATGGGAGAGATTATGTAATCCTACTGAGAGAAATCCCGTGGCGTTGGTTCATTCTGGTTTTGCACTGGATGCCCACGTGAGAAAATGATGTGTAAAATGCATTCATAATAATCGTCCTTAAAACAATCAATAACACTGCAGATTGTTTCCTCACAGCAGTTATCTTTTTCCTTCTCTGTCTTAAATTAGGGTGATTTAATATTTATTGATTGATTATTGAGGAGTTTGTGTGCAAGATGTCGATGTTTTATAATCACCACATATTATTGGTCTTATATAATTGCCTAACATTGAGTGGTCCACAAAGTAGGTGACTCAGATCCTTTACAGTACAAATACCACAGTGTAAAAATACTCTTACTAAATACTTACTACAAGTAAAAGTCTTGCATTGAAGATCCTACCCAACTAAAAGTACAGAAGTATTAAATAAAAGCAATTGTTATGCAGAAAAATAAACCTTATTAATACTGATGCATCAATGTGTAAGCAGCATTTCCAAATTGTAGTTTCTGGAGGCAGAGCTAGCTTTAACTACTTTATATACAGTTAGGTATGTTGTCAGTGAAGATTATCAGGCATCTGGGTCTTGATATCTCTTAAGAGCTTACAAAGACAACTTAACTAGCTCATAGAGTAGGTCGAGTGAACCATTGGTTTAATTTTTGTTGTATTTTACTTTTTGTCATGGTTGGGTTTCACTACTGCTTCATTCATATGGAATAATAAAAACAGAATACCTAGTGGTTTCCAGTTTCCTCAGCTCTTGTACAGAGGTGTCGCTGCAGGTACAGAAAAGGTGCTTGTAGTTGTTTATTTTATAACAGAACAGCGCCTATATGCATGTACCGTTTTTCCATGAGTTTTAAGATATCAGCTTGTAAGCAGACTGACGCAAATGAGATCTAAAGCTCTAAGAAGCGCCAGGCCCTATCGGATACCTTCTGTGGCTGCAAATCAACATGAAACAACTGTTCCCTCAGTGCCAAAGAGCATAAAGATGTCGACTTGTTTCTCATTCCTCAAGAAACCTCCAGACCTTGTGGCATTAAGCTTGGTTTGAACTTTAACCTAACTTTAAGAAAGGGTAGTACTGCAGGTGGGCATGAATGAACAGGTCTGCTGTTGGTTACTCATAGGCAGGGCTGAGGAGACAGAGTAATGTACATATGTGTCATAACCCATCACAATACAAAGAGCACAATGGGAGCTGGTCTGAAGAGGAAAACTCTGACAGTGGCCCCTTTAGAACATCCGATGAATTAAATGATGATAAGAAAATTGATGCCAGCGTGTCAATGAAAACACTGCTCTCAAAGAGTTGCTGAATGTCATCTTGAAGAGCTGAGCAACCCTTCCGCTCATTTTTACATCCCAAATTTTGCCAAGCCTTGATGAAACAGTAAAAATCCCTTCATGTTTGCTTACTGTTGCTCACTGTTGTATCATTTTTTGTCCATCAGTGTCATGATGAACACTTTTCTGCAGGCTAATCTGTTCATACAATGGCGCAAGGTCCTCATCAAGACTTTATGTGGGCCCAGGGCAAAAATACTGCTGCACCACCTGGGACTGTGACAACAGCTGGACACTTGAAGATGCTTCTAAAGACAGAGGATGTCCCCACCAAAGCCCTGCAGCAAGTTCTGCCCTGAATGTCCCTGCAGTGTATCTCTGTGTTGTTATTAGAGGCAGAAATGCACCATGTCCACAAACATGCATCTTATCAGCCTGCAGAAATGTGATGCTCTGGATTCAAACTGGTGAGCATGATGTGTGCCAGATGAATTTAGTAACAAAAGAGTATTAATATTAACAGGCTCTTCTATTTATGAATAATTGTTGACATTTCCTTCCTTCATATTCACTGTCAGTATATATTTTCCTATGTGCTTCAAACATTTGTTACTTGTTTGAACAGCTTCATGCTTCCTTTTATATTTTACTCTAGATAACAAAGACAAACGTTTTCTCACATAATTGTCAATTAAACCTTCATGAGAGATCTACAGAAAAAATATATCACATTATATAATAATTATCCTATGTAACCCTGTGCTATAAATTTGTATTCACTTTTGCAATTCAGTGAGTGTACAGCACCACCTGATGGACTAAGAGCTCCAGAGCAGAGGATGAAGGCAAGGAGGCTCACTGAGGTTATACTAACTCCAAATCCCCTGAGAGACTTTCTTCCCTCTGGTAAGCCAACAAATGATATCACTGATGAGGTAACACAAAGACACTGTGACAGAAGAAATGCTTTAGTTAACATCTGTGTACAAATACACAGCAGAAAACTGTGTGTAAAACTCAGTGCCCAAAGTTCCTACAAAGAGTGTGAAAATGAAGTTACAGGTAGAATTTTGACCCTATTTTTACACCTGAATCTTATTGGACAATGACAATGCATTCACAAAGCAGGGTCCAATCAGAGGGAAGTGGTTCTGTTGCCTTCATGACCATTGGCACCGACAGCGTGGGCAATATTTATGAAAAAGGAAAAAAGAGGAAGAAAGCTCAGCTGAAGCTGGTGTAAATCGCTGCCACTGCTGCAGCACCATCTCGAAAATTGTCTCTACTCTAAAGATTTTAACAAAGAAATGAAGTTGTACTCAACCTTTACATTTAGCATATGTGTACTCAAAATAATAAGTTGACACTTGTGGCAGTTTTATGTTGAGAGAGCAGAACATTTTTGTGTTCATCTGAACTTAATTTTTGTTAATTTATTTTGTTGCTTTCACAGCAATCCCGCCAGTAAAAATATTTTTCTTATTGGTGTCAGAATCACCATATAATTCATGAGCATGAAAGTTAATTCCTAACGTAGTTTAATTTTGACTTAAAGGTTATTTACAGGCTTTTCCCAGAGCTTTTAACCACGCTTTAGGTTGTTAGGGGGTTTAGAAAAAGGGGATGTCATCATTTTTGCTGAAGAGAGGGTTATCTGAAATTTTTTTGGAAGAGTTTAGATTTTTATTCTCCCCTCTGATTGTAATTTTATTTTAGCCTTCCCTTGTGAGATTATACTGTATGTAAAAAGAAGTTCAAATATTTGCATTGTAAGTTTAGATGAAAAAATGTTAGTGCATTTCGCAGGTCAAAAATGAGCATTTATGGTATAAAGAGAACAACAATTCTGTTTCTGTTTCAGGGTTTATTTTCCCCATTACTGTCAACTGCTGGCTATTTGGACCAAAATGCCAATTTTAAGAATTAGAGTAGATGTTTACCTTTCAACTCGTTCTCATTCCCAGCTCCATCACTTTATCTGCATCATAACAAAAAGCAGAGCTATTGTCAAATTAAGTCATAAATTTAGCTGAAAGAAAATAATTGATTAAATAATAGTGCAAAATCAATACTGTGTTTTCAAGACGCAAGCAGGGTAGAAGGTATCCCAAAGTTCCTACAAATCTTATTGCAAAGCTCAATATAATCCTTTTTTGAGATTTTCTTTTCCAACATAGCAATTAAAATTATTAACAGGAATCATGAAATCAGTAATATGACTGTTTCTTGCAGTTTCTTTAAACATATGTAAGACCATTGTTTTTAAAATGCGTGGTTGGGTACAAAAAATGATATCAACAGGACAATTAATTGTGAGTAACCAGGCAGTATATTTATCACTATCTACTGTATATTCTGTCAGTGCAGTGTGCAGACTTATACTTATACCGATACTGTGGGAATCTGATGCAAATGTCAGTACAAGTCTTATCAGTCACTTTGATATAGTGACACTCATTTCCTAATAGAACTGAAGTGATTTGAGGTTTTCCTGCTCCTATATTTTATGAGTTTGTCTTCATCTCAGCTTTTCTTACTGATTATTTTCATGCAGATAAACATTTGAGTGAATCTATCAGAGGGGCTTTCTCTAAAGACAGAGAGCACAGAGGTCAGTGCTGTACTTTGCAATTCTATCAACAGATGACTGATCTATCTATCTATCTATCTATCTATCTATCTATCTATCTATCTATCTATCTATCTGGCCTTGACATATCAGCATTTTAAATGTTATATTTAATTTCTGTCATTTATTTTCTCTTCTGGTTGTTTTTTTATAATTAGGCTATTCTCTTCTAATTCTAATTTTAGCTCTATTTTCTATCAAATTTGCTTCAGAAATGAAAGAGTTAATGTCATAAAACCATGAAAATAGTTATCCAATCAGAGTTTTCGAATAGCTGTCGCTGTAATCACTCCACCCTCCCCGGTGAAAAGTCAACAGAACATTGTGAGGATACTTCTAATTTGTAGGCAGCAAGCTAATGGAAACAGATACCCAAAGCCCCCCAGATGGAACTTGAAAAAATGTTGGGTTGGCGGAAGGGAAGGAGAAGAGGTTTCAATGTGCAGTGGAGTTTACTCAGCAATATCCACTACTTGGAATACTTTTTTGAAAAACCCTTTTGATTATTTTGATGTGTGGACCCCCTCCATGGCTTCAAAGTTAGGGAGTTGCCACCATTTGCCTCCTCGTTTACAGCCAGTAAATCTGACTTAATTATTACTTTGG